CAAATATTTTATTATAAAAGAGACTAAAAAAAATACTAAATAATTTGTTAAGGGACTAAATAAGTATCATACGAGTATATTTTTTTTTCTCACTTTTTTCAATTCCTATTTCTTACAAAAATAGTAAATTGAATAATTATTTTATTTAAAAAATAAATAAATATACGTATATATAAATATCAAGTAAATAAACCCAAGATTATGTAGTTAGTATTTGTTTGGAAGATTGGATTAGATTTTCACTATTCATCCTTTTTTTTTTTTTCTCAAAAATATCAAATTAAATACCTATTTTTTATTTTTTATATTATACTAAAAATCAATTTTACATTCAAAATATCGCATCAACACCTATTTATATCACATCATACAACTATTCAAATTCAAAATTTTTACTGTTCAAATCCCAACTCAAATCTAAACCCTCAAACAAACACACCCCAAATAGTAGTGATAGACGTCAACGTGGGCGTGCGTACGTATGCGAATGAGTATTATTATTAGTTATTATTATTATTGTGCGGAATTGAGAATCCCAACAAACAAACAAACAAACGCTGCTCACTTCTGCACCTCACATGTCTTTCTGTGCTGCATTTATTTCCCCATTGCATACACCTAAAAAGTAGTAATCCCTCCCGACCATGTATTACCGTAGACACGAGAATTTAGGTAAAATATAATTAATAAATAATTAAAAAATATATTAATAAAAATAATTATAAATTAAGATTAAGATAACTAAATAGTTTAATTAAGATTAAAAAAATTAAATTTTAAATTTTAAAATATAATTAAAGTGTATAATTAATTTTCCAAAAAAGAAAAAAACAAATTATACGGGACGAACGAAAATAAAAAATAGAGCATATTATGTGGGACGGAGAAAGTAGTATTTTGCATTATTCATTTATAGTACTCATTCTTCCTACATATTTATATTTGTTTTACCTTTTATTTAAAATTTAAATTTATAATACTTTTAGACTAATTAATTATCTTAACTTTAATATATAATTATTTATATTATTTAATTAATTTTATTAATATATTATTATTTATTTATTAATCATACACTTTCTAAATTCCTAAATTCTAGTGTCTATATTAACCTAACAATATATTTGAAATGAAGAAAGTAATATTTTATTAGTTAATAATAATAGATAAAATTATATTGATATTTTTGTTCTTGTAAGTAAAAATATATTTTTATAACAAATCAGAAATATTTTGATACTTATATATAAATATTTAAACCATAATAAAAATGAATATTTTTAAACAAAAAAAAAAACGAAAATAATGAATAAATATACTAAGTTGGACTATATTAAAAAATTATCATATTTATATTAAATATTAATTTATTTTTTATTATTCTTTAAAACATATAATAGTAAAATGTTTAATATTTAACATTATATTGATAAGATACTACATCCGTTCTAAGAGTCTCATTTATTTTTTGCGTGTTGATATTTGAATATTAATTATTATATGAATACATAGTGCAAATCAATGGAAAATGACAAAAATACTTCTATTAGTATGTGCAAAAAATTATACAAATATAGAGATATTTTTAATATTAAATATAATGATGCAAAAAGTAAATAAAATCCTTAGAGTCGGACAGATAGAGTATTTTTTTTTTTAAAAAAAATATATATATATATATTATTGATTAGCAGTAGTATAAAACCTTTAAAAGTATGTATTTAAACGGAGCTTTAATATATATAGAAGTTGAGGTAAATTTGACACTATATTCTAAACCTATATAAGATTATATCCCTAAACTAAAATGGCCAAAATAAATATTTAATGAATGCTATTCACAACTAACATGTGAATGAGGGCACCGGGCTGTATATCTATCCATTCATTCAATATATTCTCTCACTGTTATTAAATCATGTTCAAAATTATTTGCATACTTTTTGTAAGGCTAGAATTGACATTTTATAGAGTTAGTAGTATATTTTTGGATTAAAGTAGGTTTATGAGCAGCATTTGTGTAAATAGATAGAAAATTAATAGAATTATAATATATATTTTTTTTTAAAAAAAAAAACTGTATTTTTTTTTACTAAATATTATATTTACACATTATTTATTATTATTATTATTATTATAGATAATCTAAAATAATAAAGTGAATAAGACAACTGTGTGTGGATATACGGCGGCCACTTTAATGTTGAATTTAAAATTCAACATTGTATTAAACAATACCCAAGATGCTAACAAAGAGCACACAATATTACTATTTACAATGTATCATTTTTATTAATATAATAGAAATATAACACAATATAACGACACACAACATATAACATATGACATACTCTTATATAATATATTGTAATTATGAACAAAAAAACATATATTTTTATTATAAATAACATTTGTTATATATGTATTTAGGCATACTGATTTATATGGTGCTGATTTTTCGTAATCCATTCCGAGTATATATATATACACTAGTATCCGCAGCGCGCTACGCCGCGCGGGTGCAATATAATTGTTACGTAAGGAAAAAACAATGTATAGGGTTTCTTGATAATGGGCTTATAAATTGGATTGATATATAGTCCAATGGGCCTGATAATGGTAGCAGGGTCTTTACGGAGGTCGGTCAAAAGAGGAAGTCGGGCGAAGAAAGATGAGACGACCGATACGGAGGTCGGTCAAAAGCGAAAGTCGGGCGAAGAAATATAAGACGGCCAATATGGAGGTCGGGCAAAAGGAAAGGTCTATCAATTGGTCGTTTAATTAGGCGGCATGTTAATCGCCTGATCGGTTGGCCGGTCATTTGGTCAAACAGTAGTTCAGTCGCTTGAGAGGGCGGTCAGTTGGTCGCCCAATCAAGCGACCACCATCTAGTCTCTTCACTCGGCTGAATAATCATTCATTCGTTCAGACGATTCATTGGTCGCCCAATCAGGCGACCACCATCCGGTCCCTTCAAACGGCCGAACAACCATTCGTTCAAACTATTCATTGGTCGCCCAATCAACCGACCACCACTGTTGTCAGTTATACTGAGGATATTGGGTGTTGTTGAGGTTTATGTTTTTCCAATTTCATTAGTTAATTTGTAGTGATTTAGTTGTAGAAAATATATTGATATGGAAATCATTTTGTAGATCGTAAAATTTACTTTAATACAATAATTTAGTTATAATATTTTAAATTTATAATATATTAAAAAAATGCATTTGAAACTAATGCATGGGTTTTCGAATTTGTTGGACACACAAAATAAAAAAAAAATTAGTCCGCCTGGACGGTTGATCTTATAGAAATAGAAGACATCCGAATTTGGGCCAGTTTCAAGTGGTAACCGACCAATTCCCTCGACCACTTTATTTTTATTTTAAAATATCTATATTTATATTATTTATTTATTTAAATTTATATATTCATATTCAAATTTGAAATATATATTACTTTGTAGACAATTATTTTTTAAATAATACATGAAAAAATTAAAAAAAAAGTATAATATAATATAATTTGAAATTTATTTATTAATATATTTCTAATTTTTAATAAAAAATTTAAAAATACTATATTATATGAATATGAATATGAATATGAATATATAAATTTAAATAAATAAATAATATGAATATAGATATTTTGAAATAAAAAAAAGTAACTGATTGAAAAAAAAGAGAGAAATAAAAATTTTGACAAGGACAAAATAGATAATTCAGGTGTCAAAACCCTAGGGGCATATAACCCTAGGGGCATATATTAGTAATAATATATAACGAATAAAAAGAAAATATGCAGATAGAATCATAGATGGATAGATAGATGGATAGATAAGCCACGTAATTATTAATATATATTATTGATAGGATAGGAAGTGACTGAGTGAGTCCAAAATGACCTCACAGTCACAAACTTGTTGTATATACTAGTATTTTTATTACTATTACTATTACTAATAATATTAGGGTGTGTTTTTTTTTTTTTTTTTTTTTTGATGAGTTTGACAAAAAAATTGATTTGAATTTGATATAAAAATAATATTTAATAGGATATTTTATGAAATAATTTATTTTTTTTCAAAAAATACATAGTTCAAATAATAAAATTTAAAAAAATTATGCTTAAAAGCATACCCTAAAGAATGTAAGAAGGGAATGGATGCAATAGAATGCAATGCAAGTGATTGAGAAAGAGAGAGAATATATATATATATATATATACACGAGAGAGAAGCAGTGCCCTCAAGGATAGGCAACTTACTAATTAATTAACAATGGAGAAACAAGTACGTAGTACGTGTTTCTTACACTTGTTAAACTACCTATTACACTTATACTTACACATCATCTATATATATATATATACATACATACATATTTAAGGTTGGGAGTGTCAGGTAGGTGGGTGGGAGAGATCTCAGACTATCCACATGCTCCCTCTCTTACACATTAATGCTTCTCTCTCTCTCTCCCTCTCTCTTTCACTTATTAATTTCAACCCGCAATTCGATTATACTATAAACACTAACACATTAAATATAAATAACATATGTCTGGCTAAAACAATTAATTTCACACTAACATCATTTTGGGTCAAGAAACAGCCCACATCCAACATTTTCTGGACCTCAATTAGGCCATCCATCAGTGTGCATTTTTTCGACATTTGTTTTTATTGCCATTCTTAGACTTGGCTCACTTCGGTTAGTTTAAGATCATTCCCAAAAGTAAACGAGTCAAGTCGAACAATATAAATTTACTCATTTTATTAACCAACGCATACATTCGTTAAAAAATAAATATATATATATATCATAAAAGAATATGATTGAATGGCCTAAAAGAAATATTATACAAAATTTAAAAAATAAAATATATAAGTTCGAACAATAAAATTGTTTCATGAATCAAGCTTAATGCTTAACGAATAAACATAAACCTTGTTTGCAAATGTTAACAAACGGATATAAACACTTAAAATTATATTCAATTCGGCTCATTAACAGCTCTAATTTATATCTAAAAAGTAAAGCCTATACTTACTTGAAAGATCCGTTCTACTAACCATAGCTCGTTAAAATAAACTTTTCATAGCTACACCAAATCATTTTAAAAGGAATATAAAGAATGATTGAATGGCCTAAAAGGTGCAAACCAATTATCTAAAGATGATGAATCATTTATTATAATTATTAAAAACCACGCTTTGTGATTTTAAAGAATACAAAACTTATATTCCAGTAAAAAAATAAAGAATACATCACTTATTACCTCATGTCCAGATCCAAATCAAAGAAGCATGTTGTTCATACGAATTACTTATTTCGACTTGACGATGAAATTTTGACGGCCAATGGGGTTCATGACCACAGGCGGACCTGCCGTGCGAGGCCATGCCTGAAACTTCTTGTCGGTCTCCGCCCACCATTCCTTGCTCGATATTGTTTTAGGCGTGGTACCTAAAAAGGATCATCACAAATCTTAATATAAGGCTAGAAATGAAGATACATGCAATGAATGTTGGGAATTTTACACACACTTTCCGAAAGTTATATTTCGATACTACTAGATATCACGAAATCAACTTTTGGCAGCAAAATCAAAAGTGTAACTCAAAATGAATGGATTAGTAAAAAACATAATAAATTAGAATCCAACATTTCTCACTTAAACAATTTCCCATAAATATTATTAGAAAAATATAAATATACACTCACATTAATACAACATATATATTATCTATTCATAAAAAATTAATAATTTAATACAATATTATTTTTGATATTACTAACACAGTTCCCCAGAAAATCTGCAAGATTGAGTTAAAAATTGATGAATTTTTTCAAAGGATTGTTATTTTTCACAAATTGATGCAGTTCCTCAATGTGACAATTTTTTTTGAAGGATTGGTGATTTCATCAAATTTAACATGAAGTAAAATTGATTTAATTTAATAATTTTATTTTTTTTTCACTGCATAGAAATTAATCCACATATAGAAAATTGATGTATGTTCATGAGGGGACATAATTCTCTCAATCAGTGCCTTTGTTCGGCTAATAATTGCACTAAGATCATCATAAATGAATATATGTAAAAGTGAAAAAATAAAAAATAAAAAGCACACCTCCAAAGAGTTTCTTGTCAGAAATTGCAGTGTCACAAACATAAGCAATAAGAAGACTTCCAATTCCTGAAGCGACGATGCATTTAGCTGCCATTTTTAGTATCTGCTGCATAATTCATATCAGAAATAAAATCATTATTTGAATCAAAATGATTCAATATATTGGAACAAGTTTTCCATGGAAGGATGGATAGTTTCAAGGCATGCATATTCTTTCTTGGATTAAAAGCTTAGAATGAGTGATTAAATTATTCAACGAAGACTCTGGAATGAATACACAGATGTAATATAAAATATTTTCATTCAGATGCAACAAAATTGGCAAATTGAAAATGTTTTCTTTACAGAATAAAGCCTGATGAAATTATCAACAAACAAAATCCTAAAAACAATATGGCTCAAAATTGATCAAAAAATTCCGAATCATCTCTAGATGCTTTAAATCGAAAACAACATCACGCCGAGGCAATCGTAGCTGCGAAAATGAAAAAATATAATAAAATATACATGAATCTGAAACTACTGTTAGTTATCCCGGGAAACTGAATTTCTAGAAATGTGATTCGAAAAAAATGATCAACGAACACAACAACATTCACAAATCAGAAAAGACTTTCTATTATACCGATAAATTGAATGATTGAATTTCTAGAAATGTGACTCGAAAAAAACGATCAACGACGTAACATCATTCACAAATCTGAAAACACTTTCAATTATACCGATAAATTGAATGTGATTTGAAAAAATGATCAACGAACGTAACAACATTCACAAATCTGAAAACACTTTCAATTATACCGATAAAATTGAATGTAATTGAAAAAACGATCAACGAACGTAACAACGTTCAAAAATCTGAAAACACTTTCAATTATACCGATAAATTGAATGTGATCTGAAAAAACGATCAACGAACGTAACAACATTCACACATCCAGAGAACACTTTCGATCGGAAATAGAATTTATATGAATGTGATTCCAAAAAAATAATCAACAAAAACAGCATTAAGAACCGCTTAATTATACTCGGGATTGCAAATTCTAAGAGTCTCATTCGTTAAAAAATAAATAAATCTGCTAAAAGCTCTTACCCCGAAAGCTTTCCAGTTAGACCAACGCTGTAACCGATTGCCTGTACATACAAAAATGACACATTCAAATTGCAGAGGCTCCTTATATATAGGTGATTTAATGGGCCTTTCAGTGGGCCGAAATGGCCCAACAGACTTCGTCAACCGCACCAAAATTTTAAAAATAAATATAAAATTATCACACATTAAAGTGTAATTTGTATCTATATTTTACTTTACTGTACAAAATATTTTGTATAAATTTATTATATAAACATATTAGCTTAAACATTTAACAAGAAAATAATAAATTTATATTTTCAATAAAAAATATACTGTCACAAAATATTACATAAAAATACAACTTAAATTAAAATTAAAATTAAAATTTCAATATCAATTTTAAATCAAAATCATATATATACATATATTTCAAATTTACGTCAGCAATATTTATTAAATTTAAATTATTATATCAAATATATATATGTTTTTTCAATTTAACATAATAATGTTATATTAAAAATATTAAATAGGCTCCATATCTTTAAAATTAAATTAAAAATTTTTAGTATAAAAAAAATATAATATTTTAATATATATTTTTTACTTTCAATAAAAATATAAATTGAAACGAGTAAAAATTTAATAATAACTGAATTTTCTACTAAAGATAATATGCATGTACTTCTGATAAATATACTATAAAATGTACATTTGTATAAAAGATTAAATAAGTATAATTTATAAATAACAATAATAAATTACAAATATATTTGGGCGTTTTGAAATATATAAATGTCTTTGATAATATAAGGTATAATATTTTATACTCTCTCCGTCCCAGTGTTGTTAACTTTTTGCAAGTAGATTTTTAATAATTAGTATTATAATGAGTTGTAGTGAAAAAGACGAAAATGTCCATAATATAAAAGTAATGGCATTTGTGTAATATAGTGTAAGTTAAAAAGGTATTTATTATGTTAGGTAAATAGTACAATTATTAAATTAAAAAAATGGCAATCTTGTTTTATAACGGACAAAAATAAAAGATGGAGTAAGAGGGAGTATTAAATTATTAGCATTTTATAAGTATATAAAACATTTACAATTATATATATTATATTACCTTCGTCCAACAAGATTTTATTTATTCGATATTTGAATATTAATTATTATATATAAATATAATATAAATTATAAGGAAAAAAACAAAAATATTTGTTATTAGTATGTTATAATACTATTATAATAATATTTGTTCAAAAAATTATATAAATATAAAGATATTTTTAACGTTAAATATAATAAGACGGTAACCACATAATGCTATAAATGAATAGTTTGTTATTATTATGAAAAATACGTTACACCCATCACTCCAAAAATACGTTAGTACAAACAAATCCCTCAGTGCAACAAAATCCAGACTCCCATTGACATCCTTCGTCTCTTTCAGCCAACAACAAGAACAGATCACATAGATCAACCAACGTAGTTTCAACACAAATAAATGAATGATACAACACAACACAACACAACACAATACAAATCAATAGAATGGATTCATATTATTTCAACACTTACCCATCAAATCCCCGAAAAATCAATCGTCGCTGCCGTCGTACCCGATTCCCTCGATCAACACCCGGCTGCTTTCAAGAAGTTGTCGTAAGGACTAGACGCAGGCAGCCTGAACAAGTCGTGTTGCTGCTGGATTTGGACAGCGCACGGCGTCGCGCTCATGGGTCTCGTTGCAATGTCAAGCATGCGGTTGTCGTCGTCGAATAATGGATTTCCCGCCTAGCATTCGTCGACGATGTTGTCGTAAGAAATTCGCGCAAAAAGTGTTGGGTATGGATTGTTGGAAGTTTGAAGAAGTACCTTTTGTGGCGAGGCGTCGTAGTCGGGCGACTCGAATGGTTCGCCGTCGAAGGTCGAGACGTGATTCCCTTGCAAATACGACATTCTTTGTTGCTTTCCCTTTAGGAGCGCCTCGCAATGGCTAGCGGTTTCTTTGTACGTCGCATCCGGAGCGTTGCACACCGACACGGCGCGCACGTGATGCGCCGTCTCCAAAACCTACGGCGCGTACATATATTCGATTGAGAAATGTGAATCGACAAAGCGACTAAAATATGTAGGCAATACTTCCCCCGCCAGTTAAATGTGTGTAAACACTAAAATACCCTTGAACCGAAAACTTTATCTAATGCATTTATATTATATTAATATAATTTATTTATTATCTTTGATTGCTGATTTTATCATAATATATTTACACATAATACAATATATATTGAATTATAATATAACATATATTGTATTATAAATATGCTGAGATATATAGGTTACGGTGATTTGCATAAATTCAGCTAACTTGACAAGATCAACAGTTAATCCATACTCATTGTCTTATTAGTGTATGTTGTTTATGTATGTTGTTTCTCTTAAATCATGTTTTGTGTAAAACTATGTGTTGTCTAAGTATTGCATTAGAAATATATTATTCCTCCGTTCCAAATTAGTCTCGTATTTTTATTTTTGTCCATCCTACATAATTTGTCCTATTTTTTTGAAATATAATTATACATTTATTGGATTTTAAAATCTACTGTATAATTTATTTTTTTTAATTTTAATTTTAATTTATAATTATTTTTATTAAATTATAATTATTTTTACTGATATATTTCTTAATTATTTACTAATAGCACAATACCTTAAATTTTGTGCCTAAGCTAAATAGGACAACGGAGGGAGTAATATAATTCATTTGTTGTCTGGTTCTATGTCGTATATTGTTTGTTCCTATATTATGTTCACTGCTTTAAAATTTATAATTCAACACAGTAATAACAAAAAATATTATTAGCAGACGGAGAGAGCATGCTTTATTGGTTGTTAGAATAACTTACGGATTGAAGAAGTTGGTCGACGCTCAAAAGATTGGGACATTCGAAGCTCGGCTGCGAATAGTATTCGCCGCCGTCGATCAAATCTTGAACACAGTCGTCGTCTATTATTAGCATCGGCACCTTCACCACATTTCGACAACATGTGAGATCACAACCAACAAAAACATCATAAAATCGACTACATCATAAATAAATAGCCTGCCTACATTTTCCACAGATTTCTTCCCTTGAGAACTAATTTGATGTGCTTCATTCATATTGATTGAAGATAAGTCATCAGGAACAAATTCCGTAAGTAACTGTTCCCGAATCTTAGACACTTCAGGCTGCATCAAATAGACAAGAAATGAACAGACAAAAATATCGGACAACGACTAAAATGTAAACTATGGAATGGAAACCTTACTTGGGGTAAGTCTTCGAAACTATTTATAATAACAGAAGTAAGAGATTCCGTGTTCTGTTCCTCGTTGAATTGTATTTCTGAAAGACATCTTCGAGCCAACTTGTCGTCTTCTTGAGATCCATAAGGGATTCGATTATGTCCCAATCCGTTTTCAGTCGATTTTAGCTTTATATCATTCACCAAACTTAAATATGGATCGATCTGTGCATGCATAAGAGAAGGATCATTAATTCAAGACATGGAATAACAATGGAGAAGATGACGTACGATGGATTATTACCACATTCTTGGAGACTGTAGCTTTCGCTCGAGGGATAACAGGAAGAATGTTGTAAGCTTTTGCCGAAAAGATAATCATGGAAGTCGACATTACAAAGAGGGACCTGCGGCGAGATGGTGGTATAGTTCCTGAAATAAGGAGAAAATAAAAAAGCATTGATGTAAATGCATTGTAACAACAAATGTTATGCAAATTCAAGATTCAGACATTGAAGGATGCTGTCGTAACAGGAGGTTACCTCCGCCGGCGACAGAGACATTCCTCAATGAAAAGGCGAGCTGGAAGCTTCGGATAAGAGCATCAATGTAGGAGTTCTGTGATAGGAGATGAGATTTTTGAGAGTTCGAAGGAAGTATCTCAAGGCTATTATATTTTCTAATGAATTCTTTAACATTTCTGTAAGAGAAAGGGAAATATCTCTATTTCTCTTATTTGTATGATTTGAGTTAGAGAATTTAAACTTGACATATGGCTCTTATACTTGTTAAATTATATAAATGACTGTCTTATTTAAAAGTTTAAGCTGTAAGGGATATGCATTATTTTCTTCTTTTTTTTTGTTACATCTTTTATAGATCGATTTATTCATATTGCTGTATTCTTTATTATATTTTTTCTTAGCTGAATTTTTTATTTTACCAAATAAAATAATAGATTTTATTCCGTAATGATTTTTTTTTTTTCTACGATTCTATTCTTTACTGATATTTCTCTTTTACTGTAGTTTAAAAGCACTCTAGTAGCTATAAAAGAAGAGAAATAACATGGGAATTAAGATAATTTTGAAGAAATAATGTCTGCAAAGTTGAAAGCCGGAAACTACCTTGGCTCGAGAAAACAGCAAAACCAAGCAATACGTATGAGCTATAGCTTCATAATTTTCCGGCATGTTTGTTGGAGAAAGGGATTCTGCCCAAATACATGACAGCAGGAGGGATATTTGGTGGCTACTCATCCGAAGAACGATATCCTGAGGTAGCATATAAAACAAGAAAACTACCATATTTAGCAGAAACTAAAATATACAAAGCAAGAGATTGAAAAAACCATGGCAGGATTATCTTTGTACCTCATCTGTACTTGGCTTGTTCGACGAATCAGTATCAGATGGTGGAGAGCTTCTGAAGCTATGAACTCGGCTGTAAGATGATCTGATTCTGTTCAACACTCCATTTGTATTGTTGTCATTGCTCAATTCGTGTAGATTTTCTAAAGAATTATTCCTTTGTTTTCTGAGCTTCTCGAACAGAGCAGCTGATGAAGAAAATGCAGAAACGGCTCGTGACAGTGATCTTGGCAAGTTCTTCTTTTCATTGGAAATTTTCGAATCTGTACAAGGGGATACTGAAGATGGCACAAGCACAACTGAGAAGATTTGATGGGCTATAATTCGTGTCTCGTGATCAGGATGGAGCATTGCCGGAAGTAATTGATGAAATAAGGCCTCCGGGAAAGCCTGGTGATACAAAGGGCAGCAATTATCACTATATATGCATACACATATATGAGTAGGAGCAGTTAGAGTGTTGATCGAGTCAGCACATATAATCACGATAGACAACTTATTTTTTACAGCATATAATGTAATTCTACATATATATTATATAATCCCGCATAGCACAATAAGTGTTTACTTTGCATGAATATAATAGATAATATTACCCTAATCACATTTAAGATTCATTACTATAATCCCTAATTAAGTAAAGACCTAAATAATAGTGGCATAATTAGACATTATTAATCTTTCTCTTTTACCTCTTTTAGATAGTATTAATGTTAAAAAACTATTTTGTCTTTTGTTAACTTAGTATTAATTTTATCATATAATTAAGGATATTTTAGGCGAAATTAATAATCTTATACCATAATCAATTAAAGTAAACATTGAATTGTTTTATATATGATTACATAATCCATTAGAATAATATATGTATTATAATCCTATCCGACAAAGTAAACGCACTCTAAAGCATATAAAACTGTACAACACATATTTCTATATGACACCGCTATATGTTGTGCGAAGCATGTGTTGTCTGTCGTGATTATATGTGTTGATCGGGTCGAATATCCTAATCGCCGCTATATACAAATTCTATACAAAAGGCAGCATTTATTAGTTTATGGATCATACCTTTTTTCGATATGACAATCTCGGCAAAGAAGCTATGATCTGAGCAGTGCGATAGACAGCGCAAACCGTTGTTCTAGCCACAACAGCAATGCTCGGAATGTTTTCTAACATAGAAGCCATGACATCGAGGATCAGGCCGGCATCTCCAACCTGTCGAAATAAATTTAGTACCTTAACAAATTTCAATAAATTCTGATGAAAAATTTATAGCAAGAACAGAGAGTGGAGAACCTTAGAGGACAGCTCAGTAAGACATTCATCGACGGCATCATGGAATTTCCTATTAGCCTTAACTAAGTCGTCTCCAAGGTTTGAGCTATCTAGTGAAAGATGAATGCTCTTACGTAGGTGCCGCATAACATCATTTAGAGCACTGACCATGGCTACTGAAGGCTCTGTCTTTGTCAGACGAGCAAGAGCGGTGACAACCTGAACAATGTCAAGTTGCATGTCAGGTTGCTTAACGACACTTTTACGATCAAGATGCTTGATTAACGTAGACAGCAAAAAGTGTGCATTCTGGCCTGCATCAATCAAGAGTAAAAAAAAAAAAAAAAAAAAACACGATTTCATCCATCGGCTAGTTGCAATAATCCTGAAAACAATTTCATCCATGGAACCACGAGAAATTCAATTGCAAGAAGAAAAAGCATGGAATCTGACCTGTATCATCCATCAAAAGCTGCATATCTCTAAGAACAGGTAAGGCAATCCCATTCCAGAGATTTTCAGTATCGAAGTATCGGAAGAGTGATTCCAACACACGGCGCATTGTTGTAGCTTCTTTCCCGAGCTTCGCCATGTTATGAAGGCAAACTCTGGACCAGAAGCACGGGTTCTCCAACTCTTGTCTGCATAAAAAGCAATGATCAATTTTATTCGTACAGCTGCAAGAGAACAGAAGATGAAGAGAGAAAGGCGCGAAGATATTATACGCTGACACATTGAGCTGTCCTTTATCATTAACAATCTCTTTCCATGGAGGAACGTTTATCATGTTTTCTGGTGGAGTTTTTTGAACTTTTTCGTTGGATCCAAGGTCCTCCTTCAAACCCCCATAATTTTCCAAGACTACTGAAACTATCTGAGGGATCAGGACAATAAGATGACATGTAAAATGAGATGTACAAAATACCGAGCTAAACAATACTTAAATATACATCACATGCCAACTTATGTTCCTTTTTTAACTGAAGGTGCATTATGAACAACAAAAAAAATAACGGGAGAGAAACTTTGCAAGGTTTAAAAAGGTATATACTTACATTATCAAATTCAACAGGAATGTGAGAGTTTTCACCCATAAACCAAATCTGCACATAAAATAAATCAGATTATCCATAAACGTCCACATGAAAATGTATAGCTGCAAGAGAGCATCATGAATATAAATATTGATTTACAACCATCGATCCCTGAGCTTTGAACAAAGTTCAGTCGGGATAGATTTTGACACAATCTGAAAAGACATCATATTGACAATTAATGTAACTCAAGCTCATCGGAAAGCATTGGAAACAAAACCATGTCCGATAGTATTTGGAAGGAAATGAAATTCGTCACTTTTCACAGTTTTTAAGGACACACAAAAAACAGAGGAAGAGAACACTTGATCATGTCGAATCCCCAAGGGCTTTTGTAAATGTTAGAGTAAGCGTGTCATTCACGGAACAAGTTGAAAATGACATAAAGAATGAATTAGAGTGAAATTAGGTCCTGCTTTGACTAAGGAAGCTAAAGAATCTAAATCGAAAACAAGAATGTGAAATTTCAAGAATTTTTATTTCTTTTGTGATTATACTTCAAAGAATAACTTGGAGTAATATATATCCTTTCTCAGATCCAATAAATCAAAGATGGAAACTTTGAAGGCGAGCACCGTACCAAAGCAGATATGCCCTGCAGCCCAGCTGCCCTTATTTGTTTTGGTCTCTGATCATCTCCCACTTCTTGAGCCATTTGACAGAGTTTTGGAATAAATGCTTCCAGGTTAAACATGTATGTTGCATCTTTCTAGAAGGCATCAAAGAGTTGAATCAGTAAAGAAAATGGCAAGTACTTAATTAGAACTTCATAGAGCTCTACAACTTACAGAAATGGAGAACTGTAAGGAAAAACACCTACCTGATTATTTACAAAGTCAAAGAGTGATAAGCATCCGATAATTAACATTTCGTCCTGTGTTTGATCCAGTAAAGTTTCCAAGATAGTCATCACACTGTTGGCAAACAATGGCCTGACACAAAAAGAACACAGGTGAATTATTTACAAACACTTCCTTACTATAATCAACTTGTCAGTTGTCACCACGACTTGCAGAAACTTAGACATGAAAAGATTCGGTTATCAAATTATGACAAATAGACTCTTTACGTGACTCATGCTCTATCACAGTAAAGAATTTTAGTTACGTAAACATTGGTTCCTTCATACTTCTTTAACTAAGCTACAAACTCAAGATGAAAGGACGAATAATTCTTAAGTGGATGCAGCACAACACACATTCGACATTGTAAGCTTCCAATAAATGTATTTTTCCAAATATGACGGACAAAGTGTGATAAATTATTTGACTAAAAAAATTGGAAATATAAACTACCCAATGCATCAAAGATCCCTAACATTATCAAAAGAAATATCATAAACATAAGCGCAAGCAATAGGAGTGGGACATACATTTGGTCCTTGCAAGACGAGCACAATTTCCTGTAAATACACATAACAACTTTAACACACCGAATATTTTCATTCCTTAGTTCTTTATAGCATCTTTGCTCGAGGGAGGTGGTGATCTGTAATTCGAAACCATACAAAAGAGTAAGCAAGTTTGTTAGTGTCAGAATCAACAGGAGTAACAAAATTAAGGCTAATATTGATATTGACATATATATAATTTAGAATATACATGAACAAATATTGAAAACTAATGCCCATATATTAAAGACATCAAAATACAAAATAAAACCGGAAAACATGCTTCATTATGATGTAAAATAACATTTCGAGCTTTTTGAAGTGTAGAAGAAGCACAAAGGTAAATTGTGTTTTACCAAATTTGACATAATAACTACCTTTGGAATTCGCAAGGGATTTTTTGCAGCATATTCACATAGTTTTCCAATCTTCCTATCATTTGGCTCTTCTTCCTGTAGAATAAAAAAGGGAATCGAAAAGATCCTGAGTTCAGTAAGTCTGAGAAAATGTGGCATATAAATTATACTAAAGTCACTTATTGATCACACTACAAAATGTGAGAAATGCATTCATTAATGCTAAGATAGAAAATCTCACAGGACAGATCACCCACATTTGCAAAAAGGTTAGGATATCAATTTCGATTATGGAAATTAAAATACTGAGTTTATGTTACTGTTAACAAACAGATTTTGACACACTGAGAAATGATGCCGTACAGACATGCAATCAAATCAAGCTCTATTACCGGAAGAATAATCGGAAAAGTGGCCAACTATGAGGACATCCTTAAAAAAAGGTTATCAAAAGTTTGACGACTGCTCGATACCATTCCGTTTAAATACCTTCAAGACATCTTCAATAGACCATAAAAATTTAAATCACCTGCTTATTTTTCAGCATTCGATATAATTTAGTTTTGAATTCAGAAGATTAACTTTGGATTCACAAAATGAAGATCGAACTTCCTGATACCATTTCATTTAAATTCCACTAAGACATCTTCAATCGACAACAATAATTCAAACAATTTGTGACAGCCCATTTATTTTTAGCATTTGATGTAATTTAGTTTCGAATTCAGAAGGTTAAATTTGGATTCACAAAATCAAGTTCGAATCGAATTTCACTATCTGCTTGTTAATTTTCAGGAGCTAACAGTTACCAATTCAAATCCTCAAATCCCTAAGTATGATTTTCATTCCAATTCAACAATGTACCATCCATATCAGAATGAGTATGAACCCTAACCTGAGACTTGGGGAATATATCTGCTATGAGCTTCTTGTACCTCTTGACAGGCTGTCGGGACCTCGGCCGCATCGACGGGCAAAAGAAACAGAGGTTGTCGCATGCCGGCAAGATCTGCCGCGAAATCACGCCGGAAACAGCACTCATTTTCGATTTCACGAAAATCCGACAAATTTGTAGGCAAATCCAGCCTGCGTCGGAATTCAAGAGCTTCCTTTCCCTTCGTTCTCTTAAATATCGACGACAATCGAAGGGAAAGGAAAGCTGGTGAAATCAATCAGGCACTCCTCAAATGCCAATCAACAAACACCAGCCTACAAAAACAAACATCAAATCAAATCTACGAAAATGCGATCGATCGTCCAAATCGTTGGAGAAATTCAAAATCCCGATCGTGAATTCAGAGAATTCAAATTCAATGCCTCTCAAACGCAAATACAGACAATCCATATCCAAAATTTCCACGATTTTCTCTATAACATCGAAACTTTTACCAAAAAAAAAAAAAAGGTAGGGGATCCGAATCGGAATCAGAATCAGAATCGAAATTGGAATTGATTTACCTTGAGAGCAACGCCGGTGAAGCGCAGACCAGAAGCCTGGCCGGCAATTGCAAGTGACGAAGGATTCCTTGTTCCTTCCCAGAAATGGGGATTGGGAAACGCCTTAATTGAGCGAGGCCCTCGCGTTTCTCTCTCCACACTTGCTTTGTCCACGCGGAAGCATCAATCAAAAAATTGACTATTTTTTATACGCTGTCGTCATCGTCGTCGTCCAATCGAATAAATTCGATTCGAGAAAAAATTGGAAAAGGGAAGAAGGAAAATCGATCGGACTGGCAATGGCAATGATTGTGGACAGCTACTGCTGCTCGAATTTCAAATTGGGATTGAAATTTGGAGGCGGGTGGGTAATGGGTTCTTCTGCAATTTGATTGCACGGATGGATGGATCCGCCCGCCATCTGCATTAACGGCTCGATTCCAGTTTTCAACGTTGAAAATTTAATGCTATAAATTTATTATTATTATTATTTTAAATTTGATATTCCAGGTAAAATTATACTTTTGTGGTCCCAATTCAAAACCTTCCTTTAAATTTTGTACTATTATGTTTGCATCACATATCTATTTTTTAGTTTTGTCTTACATAATTAGTTATTTTTTTAATTATAATTATATATTTTAATCATATTTTAAATTTTTTAATTTATAATTTTTTAATTTTGATTAAATTATTTAGCTATTCCGATTTTAATTTACAATTATTTTTATTATAACATTATTTTTCTAATACACTTCTTAATTTTTTAATAATTATATTTTATCTAACAATATGAAATGATTTTAATATATTTTATTTTAGGTATAAATAATAGTATATTTTTAAATATATTAAACTTAAAAATATTTTGATATTAAAATATAATTATTTTTACAAAATAAATATTTTTAAGCGAAAACTACAATAATAGTAAAACAACGGAATGAATATTATTGTTTCACAGAAATATGCTCATTTTACTATTTTATTCATACAATGTTTAATAAAAAAATTAATAATATTTTGTTATCCAAATTTATTCTATTTTTTTGTCATTTAAATATAATATAACAGGTTCTATCTTCATTTTTAACATAAACTCATATGTTTTTATAAAATTATTTAATTTTCATTTTTATACTATATTAAAAATTAATTTTATATTTAAATACAATTATTTCAATTCAAAAATTTTAATATTCAAATTTTAACTCAAAATCTAACCTCTCAAACAATCACACTGATATTTGGCATGACTACCGCTGCAGCAACTTTAATTTGGAGTAAAGAATAATTGGTCTGTCTGTTTTGTGTTTTTAAATTGAATGTTTTTCTTTTTTTTCTTTTTTTTTTTTTTTTTAATGTTATCTACAAAAACAAACATGTTAACAATATTATACTCCCTCCGTCTAACTAGAAATGATATATATTTCTATTTTGGGATGTGCAATTACAAAGTAAACATTTCATTAAATACTTCACTTTTTTCTACAAATACCCTTACTTTATATCACATCGTTACTTTTACACCAAAAAACAAAAGCAAAAATAGTATTACGCCACTTTTAATTACCTACTATAATTAAAATACTGTAAAAAATAATTGTATACTTTGTGCGTGGACCGAGAGAATATATATATATTACACTATTAATAAAAAAATGTGGTAACAAATTTTTGATAAAAACACACACCCAACACATACATTCAATTCAAGTTAGAGAATTGAGCATCGTAACAAAACTATTACAAAGAAACACCTAAAAAAATCTCTCATGATCGAAACCAATCTATACATAAAGAGAGAGATCTATACAAGAAGATTCACTTGAAATTATTTTGTCGACACACCTCGATGTTCTTTATCTAAATGTGCGACCAAAGAATTAGGATCGCGAAACCCTTTACTACATTTAGGGCAAACGTTGATGGTCATGTTCATCACCTCATTCTTGTGATGAATTTTCTCGACATGATCCACTAGATCTCCGACTTTGCCAAATCTCAAATTACAATGAGGGCATATTTCGATTCGATCATTTCCATTCTCGCTATTGTTTTGAGATAACGTTCCGTTCGTGCGCAAAACTTGATTAAACTCACTGCTAAGCTTATTCACGCCGGCTTCTGCCGTGGCGCGAAAAGTTGAAGCGATTTTGGTGAAGGCTAACGACCAATTTGATGATGGTGAAGAAGAAGTCGCGATTTCTTGTTTAATGGTATCCTCTTTCCCGGTTCGATTTAGAAAATTCAAGAATTGAAATGTGGGCTCGGGTTTTTTAGGTCCTGGACAATTGTGGTCAGGACCAAACCTGTGTTTAAGACAGTGGTCGATGTTGCAGTCTCGACACTTGATCGTGTTAGAGAATGTTAGTGTCTCCCGGCATCTTGGGACAGGACATTTCCTTTTCTTGGTCGCGATCTCGTAGTTGGACGGGTCGCAGTCGATGTTGACATGCGATTCCCATGTGATGTTCGGGTCTTCTTGCGGGATTAGGTGAACACCTTTTGCGCATAGCGGGCAAATGACGACAGTGTGGTCGTTTTTGTTGGCTTTCGGACATTGGTGGCGGCTGTAGCTCCGGTGGTCGAGACAAAATACCTACGAAGGTTGTTGTTAGACTTTTAGACAACAAGCAACGACCTATTTTTTAAGGTCTAGTTTTGATTTTATACTATTAATCACTTTTTTTTTTTTTTTTTTCATGTTTAAAAAATATTTTTTTAAAAATAAATAAATAATATTTTTTACTATTCGACCTCTACGAATTTCTATAAAAATATACTAATTGTACACACATTTGACCGAGCACGAATTGTAAAACAAATGAGTAAAAATAGAAAAAAAAAATTTCGTAAAAATAAAGTAATATTTTTTACTAAAAATAAAAACAACAATAAATTTATATGACAACAAAAAAAAATTAAAAAGTTAAAACAAATTATAAAATATAAATCGATATTCAAACATTTTAGTGTTGCTAAAACTCTCTTAAATCTTCCAAGATTTGTAATGCTTGTGTGGATTATATAGGAGTATTATAATTTTTCTCAATCCAAATTCCCAAAAAATTGGTTACAATTCGGATTGGGGCTATTGAGCGTGCTGATTATCTAATTATCTCAAATCAACACATTATAATAATATACTCCCTTCTTCCCATAAGTATCTATTTTTTTATTATCCATTTCTTTTTTTTAGTAACTGTACTATCTACCTAACATTACAAATACCCTTACAACTTACAATATATTACACAAATACCATTACTTTTCTATCACACATACTAATAAGTTTATTTTAGTCATTTCTACTTTATTCATACAATCTCTCAATATAATACTAATATTTCTAAAACTACGTGCAAAAAAGCAAATGGATATTTACTTCCGGGACGGAAAGAGTACAATATAAATAGCATGTGTTGTATTGACTATTGTCATACTCCATCCGTCTTATATCTATATATTCATTTGTTTTTTTTCCACGAAATTTTAAAAATATTAGTATTATATTGAGATAAAGTAAAAATAAAATTAAAAAAACTAAATTAACTCTATTAGTAATTAGTATTGTATGATATAAAGGTAATGACATTTATGTAATATATCGTAAATTGGAATGATATTTGTAACGTTAGGTGGATAGTACAATTACTGAAAAAAAAAAATTGATACTTTGATATGGGACAAACCAAAATAAAAAAAATAGATAGATTGTCAAATTACTTATATTTGAGATGCTCTTAGCTTTATTCTGAATATATTAGGATGTGTTTGTTTGGAGAATTTGTACAAATTTTAACTATTCATCTATTTTTTCCTCCCAAAAACATCAAATCAAACACCTATTTTTTTTTTATATTATACTATAAATCAATTTTATATTTAAGACATTACATCAATACTTATTTATATCGAATCATACAACTATTTCAATTCAAATCACAACTCAAAATCCAAACGCCCAAACAAACACACCATTAGTAAATACTAACATTAGTCCAATAAAAAAGCATATCTTAAAATACTTCCAAATTTTCAAACAATTCTCAATATCCAATTAAATTAAAAATAAATATAAAAATAAAAAATTCCAAAATACAAGCACAACAACACAATACAAACAAACAAACACCTCATCCAAAACCTCACCAAATCAATTCAAATTCTATATATCTTAATCGTCTTCAATGTTGGAATACATACAAAGAGACATGTAGTAATTTTAACATAATCATGAACACAGTGAATGCACAAATTATGCAATCAAATCAAATTATTGAAAATCCAAATCAATCCGATCATTAGAACACAAATCAATCAAACCACAAAAATGCACAACCAATTACATATAATCGAAAACAACAATCACAATCCCAAACAAATCGCAAAACTAAATCACACAATCAGTTATATAATCGAAGACAGCAATCACAATCCAAAACACATCAGAAAAATTGAAAAAAACTAAATTAAATCATATCTAAGAACAATCCAAAACACATCAGAAAAATTGAAAAAACTAAATTAAATTAAATCTAAGAACAATCCAATTAACCTACCTACCTACGTACCTACCTGTTGGCAGCAATCGCAGGTGAAAGGCAAGAAATCGAGCTGGCGACAATCATCAACGCTGCAGTGCTTACCGAGATCCGGAAACGCCGGAGTCCCCATTGCTGCTGTACGCACTTATCCCCGAAACAGACGACTCGATCTCGGGGAGAAAATTCGGGACTCGGACGGATTCAGGAACAGCAAACCACCACCGATTTGGTAGCAATAAATCAAATAATGTATATGAAGATTGAAAGGCGTCGGCAGAAAAAATCGGAGGAAATTTTGCGTTTGAAGGAGAGAAGAGCGGAGAATCGGAAGTTTAATTGAAATTTACCTTGTGTGTGTGTGTTTTCTTTCTCTTGACAATTATTTTTTTTAAAAGAATTATTTTAAATTTATTTATTTTTAAATATTTGTACTATAGGTTTTCAAACTAATATATGTAAAAGCCATATATTACACACAGCGTTAATAAAGGCATGCGTTTGTTGTAGGTTCTCACATTGTTTAAAATATAATTATATATTTTAATTATATTTTAAAATTTATAATTTATATAATTTTTTATTTTAACTAAATTATTTAATTATTTTAATTTTAATTTATAATTATTTTTATTATATTATAATTAATTCTACTTAATATATATTTCTTAATTATTGCAATTAAAACTCGTAGCTAAAGTAGACAAAAACTAACAAATAACAACCGCAGAACAACGAACGAACTTCACAAGCACCTTCAAGAATGGAACAATTTCAACTATGGCGAAGAACACGAAAACTCACAACATCAAACTTCATGCATCATTCACAAATCCAACAAACAAAACCAGAGAAGAAGCATCGTACCGTTTCCAAACTCGATCCACAATCCGACGAAGAATAAACAAATCGCGAAACTCTGAAACACGCTAGAATGAATCCACAATCAATAATTCCAAAAATTCAATCGACAAAAATTCCCAATCAGAAACCCTAATTTTCCGAAAAAGTACCAAATCGCAAAATTAAACGACGCGAATCAGTTCTCCGACCTACCGGATTCCGCGATTCGGCGGCGGCGGACGGCTAATCGGAATCCCCGAAGTGATCCAATAATCTTTGCCCAAATTGCAGTTTCCCACAATCGAAGGAGAATAACAAGCCTGACAAATAAACACTCGGTCCAGCCGAAGGACAAAAATGAACTGAGGGATGTTTGTTTGGCAGTTCTTTTTGTGCAATTTATGCATAAAAAGGGCGCTGGTTTCCGCCATGGCCGATTTATTTGTCAAGCTTGAAATTCTCCTTTCGATATAATGCGAAAATGCATAATGATAGATTGAACTTTTCTATCCTTTGTATAAAATAATAAGATAAAAGTGATAATCGAAATAAAATATTTTTTTATTTATTTAATAATACATATATATTAGGATAAGTATGATACTAGTTTATATATTATATAAAAGTGCATTTTCAAAGAATGATTGAACTTTTCATCATTTGTATAAAATAATAAGATAAAAATGATAATCGAAATAAAATATTTTTTATTTATTTAATATTGTATATATAATTTTTTGATAAGTATAATAATAATTTATATATTATATAAAAGAGATCGGTGGTGTTCATACTTTGTCCATTAATTTTTTTACATAAAAGATATAAGGTTGTGTGGACTGTTAGCACTATACTTTTTAATTTGTCACATCACAAATTTATATTGTTTGTTAGCTATATTTGAAATTTAAAATTGATTTGAATTTTTATTTAAATAATATTTTAATGTGATATATTATGAGAAAAATAATATTTAAGTAAATTAATATTATATAAATATATTATATAATAAAGTAGTGTAATATTTATTTTTCTTTAATATGAAAATAAAAGTAATATAAAAAAATAAAAATAAAAATATTTTATCGAGAGTTACTTTTATTTTAAAAAGAAAAAAGAGACAAATTTTGACCTGAACAAATTGAAATAATAAAATTAGAAGTTTACTATTGGAATTGAGTACTCTTTTATTAAAAATGGTGAGGAGTAACTAATAGTGATTTTGAATTAAAATTACAGTCAAACAAATCTAATACCCCATTTGTCCAAATTCAATGTATATATATTTTTTTAATATATTAAAAAATAATAATAATTTATTGATTAGTGTAAATATATAAAATAGTTTTAATACGTTTTATGTACAAAAGAAATAAATATTGTTTTACAAATATTAATATTATTTTGTTATTTATAAATAATTCTTTTTATTATAATAGAAAATATATATTTTTGAGTTAGACAAATGAAAATAGCAAATGAATAAATTAAATTGGACCAAAAAGAGTGTAGTCTATTTATACAAAATGTCTTGAATGAATATTAATTGAGTTATTTATATTTATAAATATTATTTAATTAAATTTGAATAAATACTAAATTAAATATTAATTTTTTATTTTTTATTTAAAAAATCACAGTTCATACTTATTTACATTATATTAAATAATTATTTTAATTAAATATCAAATTATCCTAAAACTCACGAGCAAACACACCAAACAAATCACGCCAGACAAGCATATTTTTACTACTTTTTAGTTATATTAGAATTTTATTTGATTGTGATCAATTTTAAATTTTTATTTAAATAATACTTTAATTTGTTATTTTATAATAATAATTTATTTTTTTTTAAACCGTAATATTTTCATTGCCAATTCTATATAGTTGTGCTTTTTAGCCTCAAAGAGGCTTCATTTTGATAATTATTTCTATTTTGTTAAATGTTGTGTTTTTTCTTAGGGTATGTTCTTTTGAGGAGTTTGGGGAAGTTTGGGTTTGGATTTGATTTTTATTTGAATTTTGAGATTAATTTGAATTTTGTTGTTTCTTTTGTATTTGGATTTGGTTGGGTTTTGAGGAATTTTTTATGTATATTAATTTAATGGGTAATGAATAAAATAATATAAATATGTATTAAATTTAATTGATAAAATTTATATTTTATAATTTGATTATGAATTTATATTATACCCAATATATATATATTTAAATTTTTATTTATTTGTATTAAAGAAAATTTTATTTTCTACAAAATGACATATATATTATATATATTTTTTTCATTTAATTATAATAAATATTAAATAAATTTTTACAAAAAAAACCAAGAAAAAAACAGGCACGCCCGTTTTATCGAGTAATTGCACAGTAAAATGAGGCCAAACCCCTTGGAGAAACATATCTTTAATGAGTTTGAAAAAAATTTGGTTTGATATTAATATTAAAAAAAATATATTTGATGAGATATTTTTGTGAAAAAAAAGATATATATTATTAAATAATTTTATAAATAAATAAAATAATTAAATATTATATACTATATTTTGTTAATAATAATAATAATAACTTAAATTATTTAAAAATAATAAATAATAAAGAAAGCCTTCGATCGATAAAGCACTGTAAAATGCAGTTTTATACTTATATTATACATATTTCGTTTATTCTTTTACTATTATTTTTAAATATATAAAATTTTGTGATAGTCGCGTTTTCGATAATATAATAGCAGCTGCTTTAGTTGACTGCGTCTCATGTAATTCTAAATAACACACTCACGCCGGATTACATACCTACAAGGTCCTGGACCACAGCGCCACATCCATCTACACCACTCATCAACACAATTCCATCGACGGTGCAGATGCTCCAGGAGCAGTAGTACTCATCAGCAGTCACGTGCTCCTCACGTGACCCGAGCTGTCATTCCAACCGTCGTCCTCGCCGAGCTTGTACATAAAACCTCGACCTGATCATTCGCGAACTGTAAATTAAATTGCTGAGCAGATCTAATCAATTCTCCAAAATTAGAAATATATACATATATATTTTTAGATATATAATTGGTTGATGGATCGACGGCGGGAGGATTTGGACGGCGCGCTAACGACGTTCGGTTTCGAGATCGACGAAGTATCGCCGGAGAAGGTTTCCGGTCACATGGAGGTGAGGGAGAAGTGCTGCCAGCCGTACAAGGTGCTGCACGGCGGAGTGACGGCGCTGATCGCGGAGGCGATTGCGAGCATCGGAGGACACGTGGCGTCGCCGGAGAAACGGAGAGTCGCCGGAGTGAATCTGAGCATCAGTCACGTGAAGAGTGCGAAGCTTGGGGATTACGTCGTCGCGGAGGCTACGCCGCTCAGTGTTGGCAAAACAATTCAGGTTTAAAGACATTTTTACGTAAATTAATCTTTCCCATATCTATATAAAATCGAAATAAAAGTAAAAAGACTAAATTAATCCAATTAGTATTGTATGATACAAAGATAATGACATTTGTGTAATAGATTGTAAATTGAAATGATATTTGTAATATTAGATAGATAATACAATTATTAAAAAAAAATAAATACTTTTTAAGCAACGGACAAAATGGATAGATTGTTAAGGAACGGAGTAAATATTTTTTTTTTATTTTTAATTTAAAGTTAAATTTTTCATACTTTACTTATAAAACAAGTTTATAAAAAAACACAAAATGAATAAATTTATTTATATTTATCTATTTACTTATTTTGGTGATGTAAAAATTTGCTACTGCTCTTTGAAAACTTCTAAAATTCCATGTATGTTTAGTTGTTAATTTAATTTTATTTACTTTTTTTGTTTTTGTTTTTGTTTTAGATTGTGATTAATTTGAATTGGTATTTTTTGTAAGAAAAAAAAACAATTTGTTTTTACTGAAATATGTAGTATTGAATAATATAAAAATTTGAAAATAGTTACTAAGTAAACAAAGCTGAGAAATTTTTATAATTTTAGAAATAATAAAAATTAATTATTTTATAAAAAATTATATTTAATACAACATTTGTTTAAATTAATATTAATAAAAAGTATTCTCTTCATTACAATTCAATATCAGCATGCATAATTAATATTTTTCACCACACAATCTACTCTGATTTATTATTTTCTTTTATTTAATTCAAATGTATTTCTTTTTTATTATATTAAAAACAATCCATATATAAATAGCATAATAGTTTTTATTTACAAAAAAGATTATTTATGTAATATTTACAATTTACTAATGAATAAAATATTATTATATTTAATTTGTTTAATAAAAAAAATGTATATACTCCTTTAGTAGAAAGGTTATTGTTTATGCTTTTGCATTTAGATTTTTTAATATTTTATATTAGGTTATAGTGAAAAAGATAAGAATACTCATGTTAGTATTGCATAAAATAATGACATTTGTGTAATATAATGTAAATTATAATGATATTTATTATATTATGTAGATAGTATAATTACTGACAAAATAGATAATCTTTCAATTCGACGGATGGAATATATTTTTTCTCATGGGGACAGGGGGAATAGTAAAATTTGCTAAAGTATGGATAAACAGAGACATAGATGATGGATGGATTGATGCATAGAATAAGTTTTGTTGTAGCAGGTATGGGATGTACGTTTCTGGAAATGCGATTCTTCCACGAGTGACGTAAAAACGCTGATTTCATCTGCAAGACTTACGCTTCTCTGCAACTTGCCGGTGCCGGAATCGCACAGGAAAGTTGGCGATATTATCAACAGCTATGCTAAATTATAAGAACTTGTTTCGTTTCATAATACAATTGTAATAAAGGAATATTACAATTTCGGGCATGTTGAACGACCATCTCATTTTGTTGTTGGTACTATCCTTTCAAAAATGAAAATCATACAAAATCTCTAATTTATATACCTATTCTCAATAAATCAATATATATAATATAGTTAAATACATACATATAGTTTAAACTTTTTTTTATTATAAAATTAATCTATATTTAAATATTAATTATTATATCAAAACATAGTATTAAGAAAAGATTGAAAAAGAATACTTCAAATATAATGATTAAAATGTATTTGCTATAATACTTAAAACATATATTTAAATTTTTAAAAATCATATACATATATATTATATACAAATCAGCACTATCAATCGAGCAATACCAATTTTAATGCATGATATAAAAAGCAATATGAGGGGCAAGACAAGTTTGCAACAGCACTTCACTACATAACACAGTTCATTCTCAAATTACACCGAAGACTTCAAATTACAGAACAACAACACACTAAACCACAGGTTATTATTGATTTCTCCATAGGAGAGACCACACCTTACAACATTATTACATTACCATTTTTAATTTTTTTTTTTTTTTTTTTTTACTTATTCAGAAAATTTAATAAAACTCCAGAGCATAAACCCTTTTATTTCTACTTCCATGCATTTCCTTCCACAAACTTAAAAACAAAAAGCACAGATTCTTAAATGGAGATAGATAATATTGAAGCAGCAAGTAGGAAATTATATGGATCTTAATTTAGAGCATACTTAAACCTCGATTTCGATCGCCCATCTGTACATATCCTCTTCAGGTAAGGGGATGCTGAGAGTTACCAACCCCGTCATACTGTCGTATTCGAACGGCGTCTCGGAATTTCCGACGCTACATTTCAGAGGCCGTTGCGAAGAGTAGAAACCGAAGCGTCCGCATCCCCTGACTCGCATTGTGATTCTGGCTGCGGGAGATCGGTTTTCACCTAAAGCCTCGGATGCTACGCTGTATTCCTCGACGGCGCCGCTGGCGTTGAACATGTCGAGTAAGCCGATGGGCGCGAAGGCGATGTTTGGTGTGATTTTCTGTGATTGGTAAAAAAAGACACAATGTAGCGCAAGCAATGTGAAATCAAGACTTATAAGTAAATAGTCTAAAAATTTTAGGTGAGACGGTCATTTTCTTCCTCTAACATATATATATATATATATAATCAAATAATAATAGCCTAATCTAAAATTATAACAAAATATAGAAATTCTCTAGCTTCCATGGTAATGCCGATAAAGTTTTGTTTTAATTCTAACTTCCGACTTTAATTGTGTTGAGCATTTTTTTTTCGACTCTAATTTCGTTGAGATTTATGATAACACTTAAGTTTGAAGAAGACAAGATAAAGTTTTGTTTTAATTCTATTTTCAAGCCGATTTCATTAATTATATGCGATTTGAAATGATGTAAAAATGTAACGGGAAATTTACCTTGAGAGGACAAACGTGGAAGAGTTCGTATTCGAGAACCTTAAGGGTAACCGGCAAGGAGGCGCCGTTAGGCAGACGGATAACTTCCCCGGTTCTGTGGGAGTATATGACAGTGTCGCCGTCCCAGTTCGATCCAGCTACTTGTGCTAAAGCGTCGACGTCTTTTGCTTGAACAGAGCCGGTGAGAGTGCCGGGCGAGGCGTCGTGGATGCGTGTTTTCTTCTCGACTCGACACCAGCCAGCGCCTTGGCAGTTGAAGACTCCAATTAAACCAGAACACTTGTTGACATTCCAAATCTTAAGCAAGCTGCAAAGTATGTTTTCGAGAGTGTTCACTTTTTTAAGTATTTGGTCGATAAAGGGGCGTTGGTATGAAATGATGTCGCGTACCTTGTTCCGTCTCGGGCTGGATCGACAAAGAGACAATCCAGTGTAGGTCGGCCGGGGAGCTGAGCTCGGAGAACCGATCCGTCGGGAAGAACCAGCTTCTTCAGGAGCTCGAAATTGTGGTTTCCTGGTTTGTCACTGCATGGAACATAAAAAGGATTAGAAGTGGAAAAATATATTGTTCACTCAAGCATTTTTCAATGGAACAATTCTTCATAAATATTATTAAAAAAAATATAAATATATACACATATTAATATAATATATATATCATCCACTCATAAAAAGTCAATCATTCAACACAAAATATTACTATTTTTTATATTATCAACACAATTATTCATACCATAAACATAAAATTAATTCATCTAAAAAACGCCATGCGTGAACAGACTATAGCGTCCATACCTTCTACATAAATATCAAAAGAATCATATTTTCTTTCATACTATGTAAAATTATCATACCGAAATTAAGCATATTAAACAATTCGGTATATGTTGTGGTATCGATATATAGAAAATTCGGTATATTGTCCATACGGTAGAAAAAGAAAAATATCGAAAATATTGTATTTTCGATATGATAAATGTATAAATTTATACAAATATGGAAAATATAGTATTTGGGATGCGATAACCGTATAAATTTATACAAGTATCGAAAATATAGTATTTTCTGTGTGATAACAATATAAAATGTTTATACCGCCAAGGAATAGATAAAGGGTGTGTTTGGTTGGGAAGTTTGAATTTTGAGTTGATATTTGAATAATAAAAAAATTGAATTGAAATAGTTGGTACGATGTGAATAGTGAAACACACCCATAGAATAAAAAGAAACTATAATCTAATTTTGATATATTGAAAATCAATATATCGAATATTACGGTACGACATATCTTTTATAATGATAGTTTTGGTACGATATATGGTATGACATGAAATTAAGGCTATACGGCTAGAAAAAATTATATTGAGTACGAGATTACCTGACATATATCGCGCATCCTCCGACAGCTCGAGCTGCAGCGTGATAATCGGCAGTAGGGTGGAGGCTCTGCGGCAACACAAAGGCAAAAAAGATCGAATTAAATTCAACACAAGTTAACAAAGAGATGCGAAAGATTGTGTAAAACACTAACATGAAACATATCCCAATCAGGCTGCATGAACTCCCCAAGAAAAATGGTGTTGTAAGCCACTGAAGAAATGTGGATGGTGTGCGACGCCGGGTCGCGAGGGTAATAATCATCGGAAGCTCTAACAACAGCTGTCTGCCGCGCGCTGTAGAGTCCGTCAGTGTTATGGCACATGCACGAAATGCAGCCATTATCGGAGAAGTTCCGGGAGATGGAAGCTTCTAGGGCCTGGTGATAGCTGCGGGTGAGGGAGACTCTGCCGCCGTGGCCGGCGCCGAGAGTCTCGATGATGTTCTGCACGTCGACTTTGACGCCGTCTACTCCGCAGGAGGCTAAATAGGCGTGGAGTTCATTGAAGAAGTTGAAAACCTTCCTAGGGGGTACCAAGCCCAAGCCATGGACAGCGAGGCTGTCCATGACAATGTCTGGTTGGTTTCCGAGCACACCGGGAGACTGTACGGGGTATGCTAACGCGGTGTCGTAGTGTTCCATGCCGGGGCCTGCAGGTTGTACGCCGCCCCAGTAGCCAGCGAGGGCGTGCCACACGTAAACATACCTGAAGCATCAGGGAATTACATATAGTAACGAGTAATGTATATATAATTTCAAAGTTACGTATTATTAATAATGAAATCAGAGATCTATATATAGAACGTGATACAACTTAGACTGATAGAATGAAATAACAATTTAGTTTAGATAATAGAAATTTGACTGTAAAATATATAAGCATCCGCTCAAACTCAAAATTTCAATTCGAAGTTGTTGTAGCCAAAATGTCTACTGAATCAAAGTCAGCAACAAAGCTAAGCTCTAGTGTCGGAGATTGAAATCGTTTATAACGAAGTTACAGTTATAAACAAATTCACTCACTGTAAAATTAAAGTCGAAAACAAAACTCGTTAACAGTAAAATTAAAGTTTGGAACAGAACTCTCAATCGGATGGAATTTGGATAAACGATCGAAAGAAGGGATGAGAAAAATTACCGACCTATCAAATACCGAAGATTCACTTACAATAAAATTAGAGTCGAAAGCAAAACTTATTCATAAATTAAATTAAATTTTAAAACATAAAGCTCAATTGAATGGAATTTGGATAAACAATCGAAAGTAGGGGTGAGAAAAATTACCAAACTATCAAATACCATACCGAAAATACCAAAACTTTCGGTATACCAAAATTTCAGTACGGACTGTATGTAAATTGAAATTTTTGGTATATATCGAAATACCAAAAATATCGTATATAATTTTGATATTTGATATATCGGTATATATCGAGAGTTTCAGTGTACCGAATCACTGGTACGGTACAATATGTAGATCTATCATATCAAATTTTCAATACACCGATTTTTTGATATGATATTAGTATGTCATACCAAAAATTTTGATACGGTGTACAATAAACAGTATAATTTTTGATATGTCGTATCCACCTCTAATCGAAAGTGGAACATAAACTATGGGCATCTCAAAATGAGAAGACTTCCGGTAAAATTCGGGTTAAGTGTACTAGAAGAAACTAAACATTGATACCATTGATATTTTGTAGAATTTCAAAGTTACATATTATGAATAATAAATTACAACTCTAAATGGGTGCTTGAAACTCGATAAACTTAAATAATAACAACTAATTATAACCAAATAAAATATCAAATTGAACATAAATCAATGAATAAAAGATGAGGCAAAAGGAGTTACTTGACATTGTGGCGATGCTTGGCATCTTGCACAACATGTATAAGACCAGAGTCCTGTTCCTCGGGTTTTCCATTCTTTTGGAACTTCGCGTTTTCTTTGATTCCCGTTAATCTGTTCGCAAATCTACAAATATACATCATATCAGATGTAAGGATACTGAAAAGTTCATAGTGACAAATACCACCAGCAAAGAGTATGATCTTATTGTAAACATTTGTCTTACTGAGCTCCTTCTTGCACCACACAATTCGGATCTTCCTTGACCTCATTTCCAATCTGTTGCCAACCATCATCGATGATCAAAAAGCGCGGGGGAGCGCCACCCTCGGACAAACTGCAAAAGCAGACGTGATTTAGCAGAGATTAAGGATCAAAGACATAAACAGTCATTGAACTTTTATTACCTCTTCAAACCTTCCTCGACACCCTCAGCAGTGACATCAGTGTAGAAAGCATCCCATGTGCACCAGCCAAACCAGTCAAGGAATGCGGGCAACTACAAGACAAATAAAAAGAATCTATGCAACTGGGATAGAGAGAAATCAAATTCTAAATACAGTAACTAAAACATATCCCGACCTTTTTCTTTTCTCGGTGATGAAAAGTTTTCATGTGTTTCTCGAGAGCTCTGTTAACAAAGTAATTATTTTAATTTCCTCATAAATATATATATAAATAGGAAAAAGTAGCACGGCACTTACTTCACGGCCTGATTGATGACTTCGAATGGATTTGTTCCCGCGTGCATATAAACAATGTGAAGTCCTTGGTCAGTTTCGACAGCATTGTCTCCTGAAATATATTGAGATAAAAACGAAGGTCATTTCTGCTTTGGGGTTATATAGCAAAAAGACTGTCCATTTTTTTTTTTTTTAAATCATCGATTTTAGCATTAATCGCTGAGAGGTACTGACCACTTTCGAGGCAGATCTCCATTTCATTCTTATCGTTGCCCTGAAGAACTGCACGGAACTGCCCCTCGAGTACGGGCAGGAAAACGGTGTAGATGGTAGGGGCATCTTCATGATCTCCTTCAGTTGTGTCTTTGCTCTCGACTAGCATGAATTGAGTCTCCAATGGGATATCCTTCCCACAAGTTCCCATTCTCTGAGTCATCCACCAGAGTTTGAATCGAAATAAGCACATGAACCGGACGTCCCTGTTACAGAGGAATGTTACATTGGTCATAGCAACTCATTTATGATACATGCACTAAGGTAAAATGGTTAAACAGATTTTTAGTTAAATGCCCATCCAACCAATTATTTCTAACAATGATAACTGTATTAAGTAATGATGATCTACAGAGTTAGCTAATCAACCGATTGAAACAAATGAATTTGGGATGAACCAATGCTTACTCTAAAACGCCGACTGGGAAGACATGGAGGCTCTTGGTGTTAGAAGCGGTGGCACCGATGAATGCACCTGCAACAAGGCCGACACCTGATCCTGGAGTAAGTACAATGTTGTCTGGAACCCCAGTGAGTATGGTTTTCCCACAGACAACAAGGTTTCCGTCGTTGACTGAGATATTTGGTGTAACCGTCATCCTTGCTCTTTGAACAGCTGCTTAAGAATCTGCAATAAGCTAGGAAATAATCACCAACTATATGATAAAATTAGTTAATCTAACATGTAAGCTTGAATCAGTATGAACATATACTTAAAACAAATGTATATACTAGCTTCATGCATAAAATGGACCTTTGTTTCAACATTCGGCACAGAAAAAATAATAATAAATGATAAAAATAGCATAATTATTTTAATGTTTCAGATGTGAAGAAATGGCCCATACTGATATACACCCTATCCAAATAGCAGTATCGGAGAAGACAGAAATAACTCGGGTTTCAATAAAGGTTCTGTATTTTATTGCATTTGATAAATATGAGGAGAAGATATTTACGACAAAGCAAACACTTTAATCAGAAAAACGGTCTTAAAAGTTTTCAGATGAAGAGAATCTTTTGACCACTAGTCCAGCATTCAGATCTGTAAGATCCAATTATCAACTTTCAATCATACACCTTTTATATAAAGTCTGGATCGTGCAATATTATTGATCTAACAAATTTATCCAACATATGATCTAATCATTAAAGACAAGTTTATTCAACGCAACAAAGATCAAGAAAAGGTTCAGCGGATCAAAGCAAACTTTAGAAGATAAAGAAATCCAGAATAGCTATAGCTCATAAAATGGTTAGAACTTAGAACAGCTCCGAATAACTTCAAGAAAACGGTATATGTAATACTGGCGTAAAATATTGCAAAATATTTCTGTGATATTTACCAGGTACCTAACAATTCTTAAACGACACTCATCAATCATCACTGTGACGAACATATCAACCAATCTAAAAATATATTTGAATGACAAATTGAGAGATCTTGAGGGTAATGAGAAGAAACGAATTTAGCCGTAATGGAATAATGATCATCATAAGCTTGATGCCGTTTTTAGTGCAAAAAACAGTGCTTAAATCACAATCAAATATATACTTAAAATATATTTTGTTTCTTTAATTAGAATTACGTGGATCACTCCTTGTTTTCTCGAAGGCTCCAACTGTCTTTTTCTTTTTGTATTTGTTAATTCAATTACGCAGATCATTCCATTTTCCTTGAAGGCTTCACTGTTTCTTCAGAAAAAATCGACTCAGGATTCTGATGGTAGATTCGGTGATACCGATAAAATGGAAGTGAAAGTACAACAACCGTTTGGCGAATATTCGAGATCATGTTCTTAAAATTTTCAGCGTTGTCCACCCGGAAAAAACAGTAGAAGTCTACACCGACTTAATGGCATAAAATCACCACAGATATTAAAATTCGTCTGTCAAAGGATGAGAACAACACGAGCTTGATCTACAGCGCAGTCTTCAGAACATACAAACACGAAATCGAAAACCGACACCAAACGAACAGCAACTAAGCGTCATTTTCGAAGAGTTTCCACCTGGATTCCGGCGATGTTCTTCTTAAATTTTCAGGAATTTTAAAAACAACAGAACATTCACAATTTCAGATCTAATTTCGTAAACAGTCCTCTACACCAAATAAGTCAAGCAGTATTAATAATCTCAATTTTTTCAAAAACTCCTCTGCAACCATTATTCCAACATCGACACATTTTATCATCGATTACAAACAAATTACCTTCTCAATTTGCTTAAACGCGTCGGAAGCAGCTTCCAGAAGATCAAAATCTCCTAGATCAGGACTTGAGAGAAGACAATTAAAAATCCAACAAATTCACTGCTCAGCAGAAGCGCATTCCAGCACGGAATGCAGACTTCACGCGAGAGGTGAAAGAGTGAGAAAGTGAAATGCACGCGCCTAACGCAGGTGCCGAACAATTCGGTGCGAGTTTGATATGCAAACCATCTGCACTTTATATAGCGTGAGTAAGGTTAAATGTCGAACAACTTCTGAAGAAGAAGCTATTGATATCTGCCACGTGGCAACGTCGATATTTAAAGCAGTCTTTGGATTTACAGTACGGCCTGAGATGATTATAAAAAATGTATGAGTATGTCTTCGTTTGTGGGTTTGAAGTTTGATTTTAATTTAAAAAAAATGAATTTAAATAATTGTTTGATGCGGTATAAATAGAGGATTTAAGATATAATTTGAATAATTATTTTAAATGTAAAATAAATTTATAATATAATATAAAAAAATAATAATTATTTAATTTGATATTTTTTTAAAAAATAATAATTTAAATAATAAAAATTTTGGATAAAATTCATAAAACAACACAACTGAATGTCTTTTATCAAAAATTTTCATATTTTTACTGTAAATTATTTTTTTTAAAAAAAAATATTAAATCTATTTTTTATCTTTTTATTATATTAATTACATTTAAAACATCATGCATTTTTACTAATTAAATCTAAACTCTAAACAAACACACTCATAATATTTTTGTTTATGGATGTCATGTGTTAAGTAAACAAACTTAATTTCTCTACTATCACTTACTTGTGTAGGGATTGAATTCATGACATTTGAGTTCAAACTCTCGACACTTCAAATCTCTTGGCACACATGGTTCCATAAAAGAAAAATAATAATAATAATAATTTCTCTACTAAATCCGTCGAGTATTTTCAATTGGGACATAAGTTTGTTGGCTACAAAAATTAACAAATAATTATATTTTAGTATTACAATAACATAGTTAAATATATATATATATTAAAAAAACATAGTATTAAATAATTGATAAAAAATAAAGTAATAGATAAGTAGAGAAAGAAATTACAAATAGATTATTATTATTATTTAAAATATGAATAATAAAATTATTTATTATAAATAAATTATGCATTACATAATTTTGGCTGATAAAAAGTGTATTTCTATAAATAAGTAAAAAAAGAAAATTTATGAATTCGACTGTAAAATTTAAAAAAAAAAACAAAATCAAAAAAATATCTGTTGGGGTGCAAACTTAAGTTCCACGTCGGAAATTGTGAAGAAAATTCTACACTTTATAAGTTTCAAGTGAACTCCACTGGTACGAGGCCTTTTGGAAAATATCCAAAAACAAATCCATGCGAGCTCAGCCCAAAGCGGATAATATCATACTAGTGTTGAGTTCGTCCAGTCCAACAATATCATTATCTAATATTTACTTAGAAAATGTATCATTCTCTCTTTGTTGGTTACCTTATGTAATTTGGATGGTTTGGTATTGATACCCAATCGATTTTTTCCCTTTGTGTGGCGTCGTCTCATTTGGATGACTTGAAAACGTAGCGAAATGAGTTGTGATCTAAGCTAATATCAGATTAATTCGAGTCAATTATAGCATTATTATTTGATCGTAAAAAACAACCCAGTCAATCATGTCGGATTAGAATTTTCAATCCAAACAAATTATTTTTTTATAGAATCAATTTTTTTAAAAATATTAAATTTAATTGATATTTTATATAAAAATTAAAATACAACTAGAAAAATAAACACAAAGTAAATAATAAAATGTGAGTTTGTCATTTTTTATGTAGTATCTTTTTTTTAATATTATTTTATATAAGATATTATATTTAATAATTGTGTTATCTTAAAATAGTAAGATAGAAATAGAAAATACAAAAAATCATGAAAAATACACACCAAATAATAATAATTAGAAATTTATTTGGTTTTGATTTGAAATTAGTATAGTAATTTGAATTTTGTTTTAAATAATATTTTGATTTGATATTTTATTAAAAATATATATTTTTTTAAATTATGCATAATAAATGGTGAAGTTTTTATTTGAAATCATAAAAAATAGTGTAAAAATTAAAGAAGCGTGAGATCCATCACATATATTGACCAAATTAATGCATAAATTTATATATCTATATGTAAAACGAGTAATTAAAAAATATATATTTATGTAGATAGTTCGTTTAAAAAAATCAAAAATCAATACTACTTATCAACAATAATATTTTTAAAAATATATCAAAGTAAATTTTTTTTTTTATTTTACTTTTGTAAAATATTTTGAATGGATTTTTTTTTTTTTTAATGTAAGGTATATAAAATTGTATAATAAATATAAAAATAATGAATATGTGTAATATACTCCCTCTATACCATTTACCGTGTCTCATTTACAGTAGACATGAGAATTTAGGAGGGGTATTAGTTAGTAAATAATTATCGTATAATAAAAATAATTTTATATTAAGATTAAAATAACTAATTAGTCTAATTAAAATTAAAAAAATTAAAGTAAGATTAAAATATATTCTAATTCTTTTTAAAAAATTAAAGTGACAGAAAGCCCCGTTTGGATTGGTTTGTGGCAAGAGCTTTTGGTTTATGTTTCTAAAAAAAACATTTTGTACCGGTCTGCATTGGCTTCTGTCCAAAAGCCGAAGCAATTTTTTAAGTTGAAAAATATTTTTTTCAGAAGCTGGTAGTTTCTGAAATAAGCAGAAGTACTTTTTAGTCCAAATTACTGTTTTATCTTTAATAATAATAATAAATAAATAAATAATAGTACAATACTATAATATAATATAAAAATAATTAATTTATATCTTATATTTTAATAAAAATTTAAGAATATAATTATATTATTATTTTTAACTTATATATTATACTTGCATTAAAATTTAAAATTGAGATATCAAATTGATATATTATAATTTTTATGGTAAACTGTTTTTTTTAGTCCCGTAACTAGACCCCCTTATTATTTTAGTCCCGTAAGTGGAGTCTGTCGCAAACTAGTCCCATAAGTGAAAGTTTTTTGTTGTTTTAGTCCTCCGGCGCCGGAGATGCCCGCGTGGCTCGCCGGAGATGACGTGTCTGTCAGGTGTCGCTGACCTGGCGGACACGCGGATTTTTTTATTTATTTTTTCATTTTTTAAAATTGTTTTTAAAACTTATTTTTAATTTATTTTAAATTTTATTTGTATTTTTTATTTTTTTTATTTGATCCAATTTAAAAAAAAGTAAAAAAATTAAAAATAAATAAATAAATCCACGTATCCGTCAGGTGTCGGTGACCTGGCGTGCCACGCGGGCGTCTCCGGCGCTGGAGGACTAAAATAGCGAAAAATTTTCACTTATGGGACTAGTTTGCGACATGCTCCACTTACAGGACTAAAATGATAAAGGAGTCCAATTACGGGACTAAAAAACAGTTTACCCTAATTTTTAAAACATTATTTTAAAATATCAAAAACGATTGAATAATTTTAATTTTTAAAATACAAGTAACGAAAAGCGGGTTTTATAATAGTTTATACAAATACAAAATCAAACTGGTTGTACTTTTGACTTTTGCTTCATCTGCTTCTGCTTTTGGTTTCTGCCTATTTTTTTAAGCCAATTCAAACAGACCCTAAGTTAGATCAACAAAAATAGAAAAATGGATACGGTAAGTGTCACGAAGGGAGTACTAAATTTTTTTTAGAAACAATTTGAAGAAATTTTTGCAAAAAGAACAAACCCGACATTAGATATATACTTAACTCTTACTATTTATATGATATATAATTTGTATTTATGTAATCTTATTAAATAATTAGGTTTGTTTAATTGTTTCTGATTAAAGAATAATCACAACTATTCATTCCGTACCGTTCATACTAAAATTACATTTTTTTTTTCATAAAAATATATATTAAAATATTATTTAAATAAAAATTTAAAGGGTAAACTGTTTTTTTACTCCCGTAACTGGACCCCTTTTCATTTTAGTCCCGTAAGTGGAGCCTGTCATAAACTAGTCTCGTAAGTGAAAACTTTTCGCTATTTTAGTCCTTCGGCGCCGGAGACGCCCGCGTGGCTCGCCGGAGGTGACGTGTCCGCCAGGTCGCGACACTTGGCGAACACGTGGATTTTTTTATTTATTTTTATTTTTTTAAAACTTATTTTTTAATTTATTTTTAATTTTATTTGCATTTTTTTATTTTTTTATTTAGTCCAATTTAAAAAAAATGAAAAAAATAAATAAATCCACGTGTCCACCAGATGTCGCTGACCTGGCGGACACGTCACTTCCAGCGAGCTATGCAGACATCTCCGGCGCCGGAGGACTAAAACAACGAAAATTTTCCACTTATGGAACTAATTTGCGATAGGCTCCACTTACCGGACTAAAATGATAAAGGGTCCAGGGACAAAAAAAAAAAAAAAAAAAAAAAAAAAAAAAAAAAAAACAGTTTACCCAAATTGAAATGAATACTCTATTTCAAATAAATTTCAAACCACAATTAAATTTATTTAATATTCTTTTTCATTTTTTCATTCATTAAATTCTTATATTTGTTAATAAAAATACATTTTTTTTTTTTATAAAATATTACATCAAAACTACTAAGTGTGCTTGTTTAATATTATTAGTTTGAATTTTTTTCAATAATTTATCTTTTTTTTAAAAAAGTGTGCTTGTTTAATATTATTAGTTTGAATTTTTTTCAATAATTTATTTTTTTTAAAAAAAAGTAATGATACATTTTAATCAAATTTTAAATTTCATAATATATAACATAATAATTATTTTCACTAATATTTTTTAATTATTTATTAATTATACTATTGTCTAAATTTCTGTATTTACATGAAACTAGACAAGTAAAGTGGCAGACAAGAAGTTTGTGAGTGTATATATATATATGGTACTATCTTGTCCATATTACTGTAGACACGTGAATTTAAAATGAATATAATTATTAAATAATTAAAAATATATTAATGAAATAATTATCATATAATAAAAATAATTATAACTTAAAATTAATATAATTAATTAGTCTAATTAAAATTTAAAAAATATATATTTGAAAATTTGAAATGAGATTAAAAATTATTTTTTTAAAAAAAATAAATGACATAATAAATAGGAAACGCAAA